ATATTTTGTCCGATAATCTCGATTTCAGTCACTTTATTGGCTTCACTCACGACCTGTAGTTCACGCAATGAATTCATAAATCGCTGTAATTTTGTTTGCGATTCAGAATCGGATTTGTATTTTAAAAGTAGATATCGTTGTAATAAATATATATACAATTGTTGTTCCAGTCTAACAAACAAATAATCAATTAATTAAAGTTAAATCATCAATTATTAGTAACTGGTAAACTTAAACATACTGTACGTAACGCCTGTGCGTTAGATTAGGTCGGTTTGGGTTAAACAATATGATTGCTGTTAACTAGTGTTGAACACAAAATTAGTTAATTGTTTAATATTGAGTATATTTACTAAAATAGATTCATTACCAAATCAATGACAACCAGGTCACTATCCCATTCAGTTAATAAGTTTACATAAAACTTTCCGTTTAAATCAAATAATTGTTTTGTATAGAAAATTCTGAATAAATCCACGCTAAATACCAATGAATTATTATCATCCTGGTAATAAAATATATAAAGTTTATTTTAAACTACTATAATAACTCAGCTTAATAACTAATTACCATATGAATAGTAAAACTAGCATCGCTAACATTAAAATATGTGAAAAATCTGAGCCAGAGCATTTCAGTGCAGCTATTCTTGGCGAGTGAATACTGATCGTCCGGACAGGCGGTTGTAAATGAATTCAACATTTTTGTGAAATTCACAAGTTTTCTAAACTGCTGCTCATATTTCACTCGCATGTAAGCCATCAGTTGGTTGCTATCAGTTATCTCAACAAAATTATTGGTCGTGGATGACTTCAATATAGTGGTGGCGCTTAACAACTCGGATATCCGGCTGAATTCAAGTTGATTTAAGCCATTATAATCAGTGAGTTCACGGAATACAGGTTTGATGGCAAATGCGTGCGATTTCTCCATTAGTCTATCCAATGATAACTCATTTTCATCACTGGATTCATGCAATTCTGTATCATTTGTGACATAACTCTCAATCTCTGAGATCTGATATTTCAGATCCTCATCACTCAACTCAAATGTGTTGGCAATTATATCGTGTAAAAAGTCGTTGTGTAATACTAGTTCACTATTGTTATCACTGGTGATGTCTACAGAATTGTCGCTTTCATTGCATTCATTTTGTTTGAGTTTATTTTCTCCGATTAATTGTCTTCGTATCCTATTTTCCTCATCATTTCGTATGTATTCCTATATTAGTTAAACATATTATTAATTAATTTAATAAAACTAAACTAGGAACTATGATTATAATACCTTTTTCATTCCAATAGCATAACATTTTTCTAGTCGACATTTTTGACACAACTTTCTCGTCACTGAATTTATACGACATTTGCCTTCCGATGGACACTCGAGTGGCTATAAATACAATCAATTTATAATTTATGTATTAACTTATATACTAGTATTAAATAATAATTGTATATTTACTATATTTTTAACGGCAATCCTCCGAAAAAATTCTTTACACGATTGACATGTAATGGCAGAAAAATTCCTTCCTAAATATAAACAAGTACAGTTATCATACATAATTAAATTAACGTATACATGTATTTAAATTAAAGTTAAATGTATTCAAAACTTCATACCGACTCCTTTATTATCGCGGCATACTTCACAAATTTTGGTCACTTTATTATTAGCTAGCATTGTTTATAAAGTATAATGTTGCAAACTATTTATTTATTAAATTTATTGAAAATTGTTTATTTCATTACATGTGAAACTATCTAATAATTTGTTATCAACAAATGTTATAATGTTATGACAACATATAAATAGCCAAAAAAAACTGTCGACCAATTCATAAATAATAAAAACAATTTATTTGAAATAATTTAGTAAAACAACTTGTATTGATTCAAACAATTGCATAGACTAACAATTTAGAAATAAATTGCAAATTAATGAAAGTTGCAAAACTAAATACAACCTACTCATATTATTACTTAAGCCTCAAAGGAAGCTATCAAGGTTAAAATACGTTTATAATAAGGTGTTCTCTAGTAATAATACAATAATAACAATTATAATACTGTAGACTTATTCAATATTGTGATTACATGAAAAAATGATGAAATGAGTGGGTACCATTGAATCAAGTAAATAGACAATTATCTACAGTATACTACAGAATTCAAGTAGACATCTAGGAATCACACTGGGAATCATACATGTCCTTCACAATTATAATTACATAGTCTTAAAAGTCAATTGTCTTTCTATTATTATATCATACAATTGATTTTAATTTTAATTTAATTATAAGAATATTTACTGTAGAAAAATTAAGACAATTTATAGTTTGGTAGTTTATTTACTTGTACAAATAATTCCAAATATTATAAATAATTAAGTATGTTATCTAAACCTTCAATATAAAATTTAACATAAATATAGAATCATAACACTTTAGAATTAACATAGTAATTAAGTTGCCTAGACAGTAATTATACTAATTGATGCAAGTCGTAGACCTCGCTCAAAAGTGGGCCATAATATTGTAGTAGAGGTCTACACTCGTAAACCTCTTGAACTTCGCACTGTTTATGTGCTTCAGCTGTAATCATGAGGTCTGTCAACGAAACCATCAGTTTCTGGAGTTTTGATTCCGACTCCGATTGATATCTCAATAGTAAGTATCGTTGCAATAAATACACATAAAGCTGTTGCTCCAGTCTGTTATGTAAATTAATTTATTGGTAAAATCAATGTTAATAAGTTAAATATAAATATTATTACGATAGCTTACTTGATACTTTGTTTGTGCGTTAGGTTTGGTCGCTTAGGGTTCATAATTACGATCGCAGATAACTAGGTTTGAAGTAATTATAGAAATAAGTTCAATAAATACTAACTACAGTATAAACCCGTATAGAATATAACGGACAATAAACACAACATATATTTTCATACCAGGTCAATTATAACTTGATCCCTATTCCATTCTAGGAAGATTTTATCTATAAATAGCTTCAATGGGTAATATGTTTGCATCCTATGTTCTTTGAAAGACTCCAAACTGACCTTAAGTGTGCTAGTATCAGTCTATCGTAAACATATTAATTTTAGTACATTCTCACCTTTTAAAAAATAGTTAATATACTCACTAATGGGAACCGATATTCTTGAGTTTGTTTGTTGAAATACAGTAGACTTCTGAGAAAATTTAATTCAAGGCACCCGTACTTCACGAGTGAAATCTGGTCCTCGAGACACAGTTTCTGAAAACCGTCCAATCGTTTGGTGAAGTCGACGACAGTCTGGATCCCCTGTTCGTACTTTTGGTTTGTCACTCGAAAACCCTCATTTGGGTCCCTAATCTCCACGACATTATCGCTCAATTCGGTGTTGAATACGTTGGTCGCCACCAATAGCTCGTCGATACGACGGCTTTCCAACTGATTTATGCCGTTATAGTCGGTCAGCGTTTTGCACATCGGAATGACCGCTAGTTTCTGTGCCTTTTGTCGGATTTC